GTAATCGTTGCAAGCCATCATCGTAATCGCGATTCAAATATGATTAATTGAGCAGCCCTACTAGAATATACATTATTTCACCATTTTCTGATATTTTAGAGATCTAACCTCTGCTCTAAAGAAATGAGTTGCAGCCCTAATATGAACTGTATTGCATTTGGTATCAAAACTACCCCAAAGTCTGTGGTTTCTGCCGGTTTTAAAAGTAAATACAGACTTTGGGATAGTTTTGATACGTATAGCTTTATTGGTTCTACACTATGAGGATGTGAATATATCAATTAGAGCTGCAACCAATTATTTTACTTTTTAAAGCAGCAAATCAACAAAAATCCCTCTTTATTTGTTTCCAAAATGAGCAGGAAATGCAGTTTTTAACCTGCTTTACAGCATTAAATCCTGTTAAACTGAAACAGACACTTTTAAAGATTCACTTTTTTCTGAAACAATGCTCAAAAGAAATAAGTTGTGGCCCTAATATGAACTGTATTGCATTTGGCATCAAAACTATCCCAAAGCCTGTGGTTTCTGCCCAGTTTTCAAAGTAAATACAGATAGTTTTTACTTTTAAAACTGACAGAAACCACAGACTTTGGGATAGTTTTTGATACCAAATGCAATACAAATAGCCTCAAGAGAAGCATTCTCAACGTCAGGATTTTCAATGCCTCATTTTGTCCGTCACGCGTTTCCCCTCCAGAACGCCATCATGTTCGGGAAGAGGCGCCACACGGACGTCCAGTTCTACACCGAGGTCGGGGAGATCACCACAGATTTGGGCAAACACCAGCACATGCACGACCGGGACGACCTGTACGCCGAGCAGATGGAGCGAGAGATGAGACACAAGCTCAAGTCGGCCTTCAAGAACTTCATCGAGAAGGTGGAGACGCTGACTAAAGAGGAGCTGGAGTTCGAGGTTCCCTTCAGAGACCTCGGGTCAGTAAACGTTCAAGGCTTTTATTTTCATGTGTACATAGTGTAGTTATGACAATGAAAATCTTAGGTCACAGGCTCCTCCTCCAACAGTGCAACACAATAACACAAGTAAATAACTTAAAGGGGACCTATCATGCAAAATATACATAAATATGTGTCCCCGGTGCGTCGGGGAACTCAGACGTGAATTTAAAGAAAGAGAAATTGGGACTGATGTGTAAATATTTTTTAATGTTATTATAGTTTTCTTAAAATGGTTCTCCATCTGTGTTTTTTACTTTTTTGTTTTACTTTTATAATACTAACAAAGCTTTATTTATACAGCACTTCTCATACAACACATGCAGCTCAATTTACAGAATGACACATCACAAGTTAAACACAAACAAGGAGAAATCCCCCTCACATTATTTAAGAACTTTAAAAGGTACATGCAGCAAAATATAACCTTTTATTAGATGGACACAAGGAGGTAAAAGGTATGATCATACAAATACAATACATAATGGTTTCTCAAGACAACTGAGTCGATGCAACGATATGAAACAAAGTGACCAAATAGGTACAACAGAAATAAAAATAATGTATGCACCCGTGGTAAAGTCAAATTCCTCGTACGAGTCAACCCAATTGATTCTGATTTCTGATGTTTGTTCTCCAGGTTCCAGGGCGCCCCCTACAGGTCGACCTGCCTCCTGCAGCCCACCTCCAGCTCCCTGGTCAACACCACTGAATGGGTGAGTCAATAAACAATTAGGGGGTGCAGGAACGAGTCCTCAATCACGGAAATATGTCGGCATTTTAACACTTATTTTGTCTCAAATGGCTTATTTTTAAAAACTTTTTCTTAAACAACACATACAGTTTCAATGACAAAAAAAAACTGTTTTGCAGGTTGTCCATTTTTTATTTATTTTTTA